TATATATATATATATATATATATATATATATATATAAAGCACATTCATATTTAATATAAAAAAGCATATATAACAAGCACAATAAGTATTTTTGAATTACTTTTATCAAAAGATAAAGGAATCATGATTGTATTTCAATTATTAAAAGACGATTCGTCATATAGAAGATTTCTATTAGACAATAGATACAATATTTGATTTATAAAAATATTATAGTTGAAAATATCATGTCTCTATAGTAGCTCATTGCCTTACATTTGTAATAAAAAATCTTAATACAATAATATTTTTCAAATTTTTACAAAAATGACATAAATATATATAATCATTTCATCACTATAGCCAAAATATTTGTTTTCATTTTGTGTGTAATATATATATATATATATATATATATATATATATATATATAGGTATAGACTTATAAGTATATATCTAACTAAAATAATATAGCATTGAGATATTTTAAATTTGAATTTTTATTATTATTTATTTGTGAAAACACATTTATTGTGCGTCCGGGCACTGATGAGGGCGGGAAGTGATCATCGGTGCAAGAGGCACGAAGTGCAAGGGACACTGACAAGGACCGGCTCCTGGCAGGCTTCTAGTGGAAGGGACACATGGACGAATCGAATATACACCGGAATGAGAAGGATCTAGAGACTGTATAGGTATGAGACTACACAGTTGAATGATAGCTTAAAGGGATTAATTCCGCATACTGACGAGGGCGGAGAGTGATCGCCGGTGCAAGAAGCACGAAGTGCAAGGGGCACTGACAAGGAGCGGCTCTTGGCAGGCTTCCAGTGGAAGGGATACATGGACGAATCGAACCGGAATGAGAAGATCTAAAAACTGTATAGATATACATGATAACTTAAAGAGATTATTTTAGCTACTCATATCACCAAATGCATTTGCTTTCGGTTACTCCATGGTTATTATTTACTTATACTGTTTTTATTGTTATAAACTACTATTCAGAGCATGTGAAAAGTTTATAGTTTTTCAAATGAATTTAAAGAGTCTAAAGATGATAAATATTATTAAAAAATAAGTATATTTAATATTAATTTAAAATACTTAAATCATGGTGTCTTTTGAATTGTGATCTAACTACAAATAGTTATATATAGTTATTTGTATGAAACACGGAGTTTTTTGTTTATATAATAGGCATGCATTGTGATCTAATTATAAATAAGTATATAGTTATTTATTATGAAACACGGGTTTTTTCTGTTTATATAATAGAAACAGTTTTAGAAGAGTAAAAGTTAAATTAGTATATAAATTAAAATTTTAGTAATTTTTTGTATTTCATTATCTTTCTTCATTTTTCTATATTATTATTTTAAATTTTTAGATTTCTTTTTTCTTAATTAGTTGATTCGACTTAGAAGGCATCAAAATTTTGGATAATACAATGCTCGTTTTTTTTTCTTAAATGTCTATTTGTTCTCTTTTAGTGATGTATCAGAGCATTGAGATTTGCGGTTGTATGTAAGATCTTAATTTCTCTTACAGTTCTTCAGTAATTCGTACATATCTAAATTTATTAAGCTTTTGGATTCTGTTTTAAGAGAGTATAAATATAGATAAGGAAGGTTATGTTGTTATTTAATTATATATATATTGCGTTTTAAAACTTTAGTTGTGTCATTTTAAGTACTTAGAGAGTGAAATTTGGATGTTTATTGAATTTGGTGCAAACGATTGTTTGTGTGTTTATATTATAATGTTTGAAGTTGGTAAGAAATGTGAAATTTATATTTTTGTATTGTGAATTTTGAATTATATATTTAAGGAATTTCTAGTATAATTTACCATATTTATGTGTATATTTGAAATATTTTATCTAACATAATAATTTTAAATGTTTAATGAAAATATATAAAATTTATACGAATAATACTTATCCAAGTAATAACTATCCTGGTTAGTGTTTATTGTGCATTAAGTATTGACTTCATTAATAAGAAAAAACCACACGAACATCCAAATCTAATAAGAGGATTTAATTGTAAAAGCTTGATAAAGGTTACTGTCATTGTATACATACAAATAGAATTACACTATTTTTTTAAGGTAATGACATGGTAAATGAGTGTAAATGTGGTCATAAATAAGTAATACTTTGTTCATAATGAAGTTTTTTTATTTTCATCATGACACTTTCAACTACTTTAACAAATAAAGATCTTCAAAGATAAATAATATCATCGTCTGATA